TGATACCAAGGGCTTAAATAGAAAGTAAATGTTTAGAAAATAACAGTGGCAACATATGTACAAATATGCTTGATACAACTGATGTATGGAATGCTATAAGAGCTGTAAGAGCCTCCAATGATTTTTTAAAATAAATTAAAATGACAAAAAGAAATCAAATGCTAATAAAATAGCTTATTTGATGACATGATAATTCAGCAGAGTTTTTTTACCTTAGGGAATGAAAATTACTGAAGTTCTCCCCACCCCCACCCCCATGTCCAAACCTTATTGCTTTTGTAAGCAGTGCTCACTTAAAATTTTAATCTGGACAAGTTAGTAATCCATGCATTTTAATATAAATAACTGTCCTATATATTGCCTGTATTTTCCCTTTCCCAATAGTATTTTAAATTCTATACCACTGGCTAAATTAATGCTATTATTATTGGAATTACCAAATATCCCATGAAAATTATTTATATTATTTCTCAAGAAATTAACAATGCAGATTCTAAAATGGACCAGAGGCATAAATTAACCATAGATATAAGAATGGATTTTTTTTTTTGTAAGAATGGATTTTGAGCCTGCACTTAATCAAAAGCCCTAATCAATGAACAATTAGTTCTTTTTTTTTTCCATCATTTTATTGAGGGTTCCTAAAATTCTTATCACAATCCATACATACGAACAATTAGTTCTTATGATGTGGCCCTTCTCAAAATTTGTCCTCATGAAGTAATCACTGAAGATATAGCAAAGTACTGTGTTTCCCTGAAAGTAAGACATCCCCCCAAAACAAGACCGATGTACAGTTTTGCCTCTCGCTGAAATATAAGGCATCCCCCGAAAATAAGACCTCCCTATGATAAGGCCCCCAGAAGCTACCGTAACTCTGGACAGTAGAGGTAGGCACCGCCACACAGCTCACTGTTGGCTGCAGCGCAGCCACAGCAAACAGGAAGTGTGAATAAATGTACCGTGGATTATGAGTAAATGTACCATAGATTGTTGTACATGGAAATAATGGTAGTAACAAGAAATTCTTGATACTGTAGGATTCACAGGTTGTCTGGTTATACTGGTTTGTGATGACAACTACTACCATACCCTATACAGGTGATGAATTTCCTTTTGTTGTTCAGCAATAAATGTGTACTGTATTCTTCATGAAGAAATAAGACATCCCCTGAAGATAAGACCTAGCGCATCTTTGGGAGCAAAAATTAATGTAAGACACTGTCTTATTTTCGGGGAAATAGGGTGTGGTAAAGAAATTAGATAGTGCCAGGCTATCTGGAAGAATAGCACCTGGGGGGTTTAAAGGCTTGACTGTGTATTAAGTAGCTGTGAGATGTCAGCAAAATGCACACCAGCCAATGTGATCTAAGGATTATTAACAATAAAATCCAAGACCAGAGCGGGAAATTTTTGGGAAACTGAGAACCAGGAAGAGGGCATATCTGTACAAATTCTCTACATTCACATTTAAGGAGTCTGGAAGGCAGATTCTAGTGGAGGAAGTTACTCATATTTGTGAGTTGGAGATGAATCCAGGTCATTCTCTTAACTAAAAAGTTATTCCTCACATCCCCCCACATAATGCCAATTTTAAGATGCTGCTTGCAAGCACGTGGTTACTATACACTTGAAGGTTAGTTCTTTGAAGGTTGTCTGCCATTGAGAGCCATCAGACTGCCCAGCCCACCCTGAGTACAGCCCCCTCCCTTCTGATAAGGACTGTAGACTGATCCCCTGGAGAAGAACTCAAGGACACCTAAGGTCAAGCCAGCTCAGGTACAACCAAGGTTAAAACGACATCTTAACTCTAGAACCCACCCATCTTTTACATATGTACCTTCCTGTTATATGTATGCCTCTACCAAATCCCTCACTGTTATATATGTGCTTACCAGGTCTTCTAGGCCAAGACTATAGAAACGCGTCAGAGAATATATTAGCTCTCTCTCTGGCTCTGGTCTCCATGGATGAGGTGAGCTCTTGCATACCTTGTCTGATGTTACTTTAATTTACCCTTCAATTGCCCAATGCCACTTTAGGGCTCATTTGGTTGTGAAGGCTGGTCCCCCACAAATGGTGCACGAATAGGGATTAAGGGAAGGTCTCCTGAAGGAGAAATTACCCCATACATTGGCTGTATTGGGGGGATTATTTTGAAATGAGACTCTGGTTGGGGGATTAATAAATGAATCACTTAAAACAGGATAATGGGGCAAGGCGAAAGTAAATCTAAAATTTACTGTATTATGCTCACTCACTTATTGAAAAAACAGGATGTAGCAGTAACAATAACAACAAAGATGCAAGGTTTTCTACAAGTAGTGAAAAAGTATAATCCATGATTCCCAGAGGAAGGAACTTTAGATCTAGAGACTTGGAAAATGGTCGGTACAAATTTAAAGACAGCACACTGAGAGGAGGAACTCTGATCTTTGCAGGTTCAAGCTAAAATGATTTTGGAACCTCTGTGGACAGAGGAAGAAGAGAAAGAGGATCATCAGTCTAGTGAGAAGTCTTCTGGGAGCTATCCAAATTTACAAAAGCAGACCAAAGTCTATTTGAATGAGTATGAATTAGGTGAAGAAACTGGAGAAAAAAACCCTGAAGAAGCAGGGACTAATTTATTTTCTAAAGCAGTGGTTCTCAATTTTCCTAATGCCGCGACCCTTTCATACAGTTCCTCTTGTTGTGGTGACCCCCAAACATAAAATTGCTTTCGTTGCTACTTCATAACTGTAATTTTGCTAGTTATGAATCGTAATGTAAATATCTGATATGCAGGATGTACTTTGTTACAAACTGAACATAATGAAAGCATAGTGATTAATCACAAAAACAATATGTTGTGAAATATTTATTTCTATATACAAATAAATGGAATTTTGTCTTGAAGCAAAGTGTAGCATGGGTAACAGTCTTCACGCCAGGTACACTTGTATGTGGGCATATCTGCATGTGGGTGGGCAGACCCACCTGGAGATGGATAGGGGTTGCAACCCACAGGTTGAGAACAGCTGATCTAAAGCCTTGGTTTCTAAACAAAACCTCATGGCCAAAGCCTCTCTACCCTAGGGGATGTGGGATACAGAATGATTTCTCCAAAGTTGTCTCCCCCAAATATATGCCACCAAACACAAGACGCTGGTTGCTACACATGGTAAAGGACTGTACACTAGGAGGTCAACAAAAGTAGGTCAGAGGTTATTCTCCCTAAGGGTATCAGCCATCCAGAGCAACCAGACTGTATAGTCTGACTCACCCTAAGTAGGGCCCACTCCCTTCTGATACTGTTCCCTTGAAGGAGAGCCTGAAGGCAAGCCTGGGACCACTCAAGGATGACTAAGGTTAGGCTACGATATTGAGTCTAGGGTTCGCCCATCTTGCCACCTATGTACTCCTATTCCCTCCCTTTACTACTTCCTTTACTATTGTGTGTACACCCCTAGGTTATCCCCCTATTGCTTGTATTGCCTAGGTTACAACCTCTTCCTATGACGTAGGTCGTTATCTGTTATCAGGAGGCTTGCATTCCCTCAAAGATATATAAGCTTTGGTTAGAAATAAAACCTCATGAGAGCTTTCTCCTGCCCTCTCATCTCCCACCTCCATGTGTACCATCAAGAGGAGCTGAGGTGAGCATGTTACCATGAAGTGTGTCTGATGTCTTTATTTTACTCTCTCTCCCATCTCTCCTATTCTCTGTGACTTTACTATAATCTTTATAGTGTAGAGGTGTACGAGATTGCCCTAAGTCACTCCATTTTGTAATCATTCCTAAGTCACTCCATTTTGTAATCATTCCGCTTGACCGCGCGCCCCAACCGCCCAGAACATTTGTCACCCAGTTAAGACAAGCAGGAACATTCCGCTTGACCGCATCCTGTTGCTTAGCACTAGCTGTTCTTCCCTGTTCTCATAAAATTCTAAGATTAGCTGCTTTGTTAAGGGTATAAAAGGCTAGGGCACCCCCATTCGGGGCTGCAGCATTAGACCCTGCATGGCTATGCTGTAGCCCAAACCCGGGTTTGTCTAGGGTATGGGCACTTTCCCATTTCCCTCTCTTTTCTGTCTTGAATAAACTTCTTTGCTGTTTGCAGTTTTGTAGGTCAGTGGTCTTGTGTTGGGTGACTCCGTAACATTTGGAGGCCCCAGCGAGATCAGCCCACCATCGCTGACCTGCATCTGGTGGTCCGGACCCTACTGCCTGTTTTCTGCACGGCGCCGGTAAGTCAGGCCTGATTTCTTTCATTTTGGGTTCTTTTTGCGCGCTTCTTTGTTTCTTTTGGTTTGAGATCTCTTGTGGTGGAGACTGAGAAGGCAGGACGCTGCATTCACTTCTCACTCCAGGCTGAGGCAGTGACGACTGACCGAAGCCCAGGGGAATCTAAGAGAGGCCTAAATTCCAGCCCCTTTTCTCAGTGGGAGAAAAGGGAATCAGGGTCCAGATTCTTTTGAATCCGGATAAGGTAATTTCCAGTGGGGAAATTACATAGCTCTAATAGGGCATATTCGCGGACGGATCTTCTGGTTTTGATTTTTACTCCTTGACCGCTTGACTGACTTTGAATTTTCCTATGTGGACAAATAGCTCTTGCCTTTATCCCCTTCCTTCTGTCTTCTTCGGACTTTTCTTCTTTGGATTTGTTGTGATTTTTGCAGTTGGCCTTGAAGCGGTAGCTCCTCAGGAGTGGAATAGGAAGAAAAAATTGTGTTGGTTGTTTTCTACCTTTGTATTTGTTGTCTTTTAGTCCTGTCCCCGTGTCTTCTCCCCGTCAACATGGGGCAAAGCGCCTCCAAGACTATCCCCTCCTCGCCACTTGAATGCCTAATTAAAAACTTTTCTGATTTCAGGACGCGTGGAGAAGCCTATGGTGTATCTCTAAATGCCTTTAATTTGCGTAAATTTTGTAAGCAAAGAGTATAGAAAAGCATCTTTACTTTCAAGAGTAGAAAAGAGGGATTGCAGAAGAAGGAAATTTAAAATTTAGAATGTCTTATCCGGTTAAAGTTGTTAGCAGACAGCCTTATGAGAAACACCCACAAGGAATTCACAGTGCCTTTCCATTTAAGTTGCTAAACAATCTCAAGCAAGCAGTCAATAACTATGGCCCAAACTCCCCATTTGTTCTCAGTATAATAAAATTTTTGGCAAATTATGAGCATTGGATCCCAGCAGATTAGAAGGCAATAACAAAATCTTGCCTCTCATCTTCAAAATCTTTACAATATCAATTATTATGGGCCGAAACTGCTTGCGCACGTGCTCGCAGAAATGCAGAAAAAAGCATAAATATAGAAATTCATCAGCTGCTAGGAAATGAAAAGTATATCACGGTTGAGTCCCAACTACAGTTTAATGAACAGACAATAGGACAGATACGTAAAGTTTGCTTAAGTGCCTAAAAAAATAATTCCATCAAAAGAGAGAGAGCCGAGTTACAGGGCTATAAGACAGAGAAATAATAAGACTTATGCTGACTTTGTGTCCTGACTGAAAAATGCTATTTCCAAGTGTGTAAAAAATGTCCAGGCAGTAAGAGACTTGGTGCATAAGCTATCTTATGATTTCTCTAATACACAGTGTAAAAATGCCTTGGGTCTTACAGGGAAGAGGGCACCCTGCTAAATTATCTCAAGATATGCAGGAATGTAGAGAAAAAGGAATACAAAGCCAACCTCATGGCAGCTGCATTGGCAAATTATATCAAACCTAAAAAAGGTGCTTCAGTTGTAAAAAAAAACAGGTCATCTTCAAAAGGTGTGTAGGAAAAGCAAACTGCAGCTGGAGCCAGAGCATCAGCCAGGGCCACCTAATTCGGATTTCAAAAGACCTAAACTTTGTCCACGCTGTGGAAAAAGGAGCTCATTGGGCCAGCCAATGTCGTTCAAAATTCAACAGTAAGGGTTGCCATTAGCCAAGGCTTCCCAGCAAAAAATAGTGAATCCAAATCCCGCCTAACAGAGCTCAAAAAGCAAGGCCTCTGCCTAAGCCAGCAAAAAAAAGGAAAGATTTCTTAAGCCAATTTTTACTTCCCTGCATCTCTAAAATAAAAATGTATAACTATCAAAAAAAAGTAATGAGTAAAGTTAACAAAAAAAAAACTATTTCAAGATTGTAAAATCATACAGTATAAAAAGCCTGGAGAACAAAATGGCTTAATTGAGCCTAAAACCTTATTAGTAAACTTGGGGAAAAAAAAAAAAAAAAGTCTGTTTGGTAAGTTACTTCAAAAACAGCTGAACAAATTTATTAAGAATTTTTTCAGTCTTTCAAAGTGTAGTAAGTTCTTAGTCAGCTTTGTTAATTCTCTGACAGCCAAGAACCAAAATTTACATTTTAGCTCTCTCAGAGCTGGAAACCAGTATTTGCATAACAATAAAGACTGTCTGACAAGTAGTTTTACTGGTTTAAGACCAAGCAAAAATAACTGAAATAGCCAGCAGTGTTTTAAAATCTAAATTGTTAAAGCAAAAGAGAAAAATTTTGAGAAATCTCATGTGTAATGAATTTCATTTAGTCAATTTAACCAAAAAAATTTCTCTCCCTACTAAAAGTTTGTAATAAAATTAAGAAAGATAAACACATTTTCAATTCTACAAAAAAAGCTAATCCTAAGAAGTCCCAAGAAGATGAAAATCACGTTTGGGATCCAGGTCCATTCACCTAGAAAAAGGGCTACGCATTTATATTTTTGCAGAATAAAGCTGATGAACTCCCTTTAGAAAGATGCAACCACGTTTGAAGAAAAATGGACAAAAAAAGATGGTGAATTTCTCTTCAGCCAGCAAAGCCCAGAAGAAAGGAGAGACACCCATGCTGGTGACGTGACCCTGTCCTGCTACTGAAGTTATCCAAAATGGCTAAGAAGTCCCGCACTCAAAAGTTTCTGCAAAAGTTTAAAATTGTTTCCTTTTCCTTTTGCTGAAAAAGAAGACAGGAATATCAATAATTATAGCTTGGGGGTGAGGGGATTCCCTATTTTCCCAAGATATGATTCTCATTGTTTATCTTATTCACATGAGGTTTAAGAAGTAAGGTATAATCATTCTTTTTCAGCAACTACAGTTCTTATTTCTGTAAAAAACTTTGGGGGAAAGGTCGGTAATATTTCCGAGGCCACTTCTACCTTGTTATCTATTTGCCCACTCCCTAATGTAAATCCTAAAATGCAATAATTGGTATAAACTTGTCGAGGAAAATGGCCTAAGATATTGTTAAATCATACAGACTTTAAGATAGTGGATTGGGCCCTCTCATAATATTACTATTACTCGTTTTCATTAAGACCGGTGCTGTTTAACAAAATCATGGCATTTTTAAAACAGCAAATTAAAGCTGTTCTAGCGAAGCCTATTCAAGTGCATTACCACCGTTTGAAAATGTTAGACAAGGGTGGCCCACTCCCCAACTCGCCTGAGTGATAAGACCCCCTTCCTTTGTGTGCTGGGCTGGACAGTCAATGACGGGTAAGATCAGGCACTGTTCATACCAACCTAAGACAGGCCCTGGTTTGCCAAAATGTAATTAAAAGCATTCCTCGAGACCCATGACGGGTAAGGATGAATCAGTGACCTGACAATGTAAGACAGACGCAGTCCCCTAAAAAATATTCCAAACTTCATTGCACAAATACTTTGTGCTCGCTATTATACAAAAAAAGTGGACATGTGGGAGTCTGCACATGTGGGAATCTACACGTCCCTCAGCCCATGGCCTCCTCCGCCGCCGCTGTTGGGTTCGGAGAAGGCGCGCTCGAACATTCTATCACCGCCACCAATGATTTGGCTGCCTGCCTCCAAGAAGCTATAGACGTTTCCGCGGAGTCCCTGGCGTCTCTACAACGACAGATTACCTCCATAGCCCAAGTCGCTCTGCAAAACCAACGTGCATTGGACCTCATCACAGCAAAAAAAAGAGGCACTTGCTTATTCCTGCAGGTTGCAAAATATTAAATTAATAGTCCTCCAAACTAATTACCAGGTGTTAGCGGTTGAAGAATCAAAGATTTGATTATGTACAAGAAAAGGGGGAAATGTAGAGGTGTACGAGATTGCCCTAAGTCACTCCATTTTGTAATCATTCCTAAGTCACTCCATTTTGTAATCATTCCGCTTGACCGCGCGCCCCAACCGCCCAGAACATTTGTCACCCAGTTAAGACAAGCAGGAACATTCCGCTTGACCGCATCCTGTTGCTTAGCACTAGCTGTTCTTCCCTGCTCTCATAAAATTCTAAGATTAGCTGCTTTGTTAAGGGTATAAAAGGCTAGGGCACCCCCACTCGGGGCTGCAGCATTAGACCCTGCATGGCTATGCTGTAGCCCAAACCCGGGTTTGTCTAGGGTATGGGCACTTTCCCATTTCCCTCTCTTTTATGTCTTGAATAAACTTCTTTGCTGTTTGCAGTTTTGTATGTCAGTGGTCTTGTGTTGGGCGACTCCGTAACATATAGATCTTAACCCTACAGTTGTGCCTATCAAACCGGTGATTAGTTGTGGAGAGCTGGTTACCCCCACAAGAGGGACTGCAGTCTCTGAAGGCCCAAAGTCAATAAAGCATTAGGGGAAGTTAGTTCTAAAACCAAGAGCGAGGCTCTTAAACAATGTCACAAAGCACCCTTGCTTTCAAGAGTAGAAAAAGAAATCACAGAAAAGGAAAATTTTAAAACCGAACCTAAAAGAGAATGTTTTATTGTGAAAAGTTCAGACATTTTCAAAAGTGCCGGCCACGCCCTGCAGCAAGGGGCTGGTCTGGAACCGGCTTTAAAAAGCATGTCTGGCGTTGCTGTAACTAAACTAGCAAAGAAAAGGTTCAAAAGCTCCCCCAGGAGGTCCTTTAAAACCAAAGAATGGGGCCTCTGCCGGAAGGAGCAGTAGGAATTTTATTAGGGAAATTTATCCTGCATACTCAAGGTATTCAAAATGATACTGGATTTATTGGTCAAGATTGGGAAGGGGGACTTAAAATCATAATTAAAACAGCAAGTCCCTGGGTTTTAGAAAAGCCAATTACTTTTGCTGCCTTATATTGCTTCCAAAGAATCTGACCTCGGGTCACAGAGTATGTTGGGACACCATTATGGCTAAGCAAGAGTGCCACTACACAGAAATAGATTGGGGAAGAAAAGTTTTCAGGACTTTTAGATTTTGGAGCTGAAGTCATGACTAGGGCGTGGCCACTAATTTCAACAAGGCCTCCTGATTCCAACATGGAGGGAACAGAACTTAACCAGGAGAAAGTGTGGCGAAGTGAAAAGATCATACAATGTACAGGAACTGAAGGGCAGTCAGATTTAATTAAGCCTGTAGTTATACTCACTACCTCTAATTTCAACATGATAAGGAAGATAAAGAGGGAGGGAGGCCTCAGAATAACATGAACAAGGATATCCTCCCCAATCCAGGCCACTCCTAAATATAACTGCTATGGATTAGAAAAGTCACACCTTTTCATCAGGACTACTGTCTTAAGGCCTGCACCCATTAAAATATCTTGGAAGTCCAATAACCAGATATGGGTGGTACAGTAGTCCCCTACAGAGTTTGTATTAGAGCTTAGATTCCAAGCACCAAGTTTATAGAAGGTTATGGATGACACTGAAAGCTCCCAATCCATTTACAGAGCCCCCGAAAGGACTAAGCTCTATTGACTGAACTCCCTCATTCAGTCCACTGCACTCAGAGTGCAAAGGAGAGGGGACTACTGCAAATAGTTAGGTTAAAATTTAACCCAAAAAATTTGACCTATTTTTAACTTGCGTCAGCGTTTATTACTTTCTGTTATCTTTTGGATTGAGTTTTTTCCTGTCATATCTTGTTTTTTAAATGATTTTTTAAAAAAATGAAGTGCAAGATAGGTAAATCTACAGAGAGAAAACTAGGAGGTCCCGAGGGAAGACAAACGATGGACTCTGGGGCCAGGACATGGCACCCCATTAGACTCGTCCAGAAAACGCTCCTAAAGGTCAACAAACAGACCTTTATCTACTAACAGGCTTTTTTTTTTTCCTCTCCTCTTCGTTTTCTTTTTTTTCAGCCTATCCGTTTGGTTTTGTTTTTTTTCCTCTTTTTTAAAATTTTGTATGTCAGTGGCTTTTTTGTTTGTGGGCTTGTCGGTGCTGCAGCCGTCGTCGCCAGGTTCTTTTGAGCCGCTTTGGCGCTGTACTGTCAAAGCCAATCGCAATTCTATTCACACATTGTTATGTCTGCACACCCACCTAGATAACAGAGGTTGGACAAAAAAAAATATGAGAAGAAAATAAAGGGACCGATGGCCCCGGGGGGACATGGGAGTGTGGGAGGTAGGGGAAGGGAGGAGGGTTGGCCAACCTAGGGACAAGGGAACAACAAATGGTTCAAAACCAATGGTAGAGAGGGCATGGGAGGACTGGTAGGGAGTGACCAAGGTCAAGGCAACTGTGAGGAACTACTGAAACCAG